AAGTCGGTGAATCAAATCAAGGTATGTGGAGAAGTGTTGACATCAAGATTAGTTATGTCAAAGATCTTGAGGTCATTGACTCTAAAATTCTATCATGTGGTAGTCGCCATATCTTCAAGAGTAGGTAGCAGAAGGGAAGATGGACTTGGAACACTGCAGAACTGAGAATCAGATTGCAGACATCATGACGAAGGGAATGCAAGTCAAAGTGTTCAAGAAGGTAAGGTCTATGATGAATGTAGATAGGTTAGACACAATGAATTAAGTGGTGTGTTAAATATATAATTCATTCTTTTAGAAAGATTAGATTTGATTTAGAAATATCAGATTTGATTTAGAAACATTAGATTAGATATTTTTGGACTTTTATAGTTTGCGTTTTAGCTTTGAGATGCAAGTTAATCTAAATCTATAAATAGGGAGGGACTCTTATCATTGTAATAATGAAGTTTGATAATCACGGTTTTATAGTTGTAAAGTGATAATAAAATTACACAGTTGTGGGCAGAGAGTTACTATGCAGTTCATACACATTTTCTTTAAACGTGTTCTTATTTTTTTATTCATTGTAATTACATAACAATCTTGAGATCAAGATTGAGAAAAATTCACCATAAATCATTGTTGAATTCTTACATTGTATTCAATAACTAAAAAAGAAAACAATTCAAGAAAAAAAGTAGATGATTAAATTTGGATATGATGATAGTCCTCTATTCTTAAATTTTAAATTTGTTTTTTAACGAAACTAAATTGAATCAAACTATATATAAAATTTAATATTTATTTATTTTATCATTATAGATGTATTAAATTTATAATTCTAGTTAAAATTCACATGAGACTAGTGTATGCTTTGAGTGTGAATTTTTTTTCACAATTTATCATATGTGAGGTGTCTCATTAGATTGAGTAATGAAAGCGTTGTATATAAACTATAATGAATTTCGCAACAAGAGGATTTGCTCAAGATTAAGATTCACCTAAAAATGGATAAAATGGCTCACATACAAAAGATGCAAACAAGCAATGGTTTCAAATGTTGAAAATCAAACAATGCAAAAGAACTAAATTCTTAAAACAAATATAAAACCATGTATCAATCAACAACTATGTTTTTCGTGAATGAATCACTCCATCTCTTCTCTTCGAATAAGATTGAAGAAATTACGCGTTTGCAATCGCGGGGACAATTTCACTTACCTAACAAACAATGCCAATATCAATTTAATTCATACAAAATCTAACAATCAAAAGTGAAAATATGGAAGAAAAAAGATCACTAAGGTCTTTAAGGCTGTAGCTTGGTCGGGTTTACAAACAAGGGTCATTTATAAGGCCATTGAAACGAAATTGCCGATGCAAAAGAAACATTCACCGTACACGTTATTTACACATCCCAACTTCATTCCATTTGTTTCTCAATTGCAAACCTTCACAAACCTTATTTCACAACTTATTCTTTCACTATTTTTCTTTTTCAAGCAAGCATTATTATTTTTTATTTTTTATATTCATATTCTCATAACAATTTTTTTTTCAACTTTCTCGAAGAAGTATTTTTTCAGCGTCTAATGATCTTTCTTGTGTGATGTGTTCTTGTGTCGATGTAGACATTAATCATCCTTTTTTTCATTGGTCAATTGTAGTGTTGCGAGGATTTTGTGGATGAAAGTTTTGGAATGGGTAGGAGTTGACTTGGTTCTTAAAAATTCAATATGGGAGAACTTTTTGTTTTGGATTACCTGTGAGAAAGTTGTTAAGATTAAAAAAGAAAAGGCTGAAAGTTTTTGGATGGCGGTAATTTAAAGTATTTGGTTATGTAGGAATCAAATCATTTTTTACGGTTCTTCTTTTGTTGCTTCTGATTTATCATGGGAGATTAAATGTATGGTTTGGAAATAGAGTATAATTGGGGAAATTTCATATTTCAAATGCAATTTTTTTCATTCTGTCAGGATCCGTTTGATTGTTTATCTTAGTTTCAGTTGATTTGAATTTTTTCCTTTCTTTTCTTTATTGGCCTTTTGTCTTTTGTAAGATAGATTAGAATGCCCCTAATACTCTTATAATTCAACTCATTGTTTTTTTTTAGTTAATTATTTTAGAATATATATATATATATATATATATATATATATATATATATATATATATATATATATATATATATATATATATATATATATATATATATATATATATATATATATATATATATATATATATATATATATATATATATATATATATATATATATATATATATATATATATATATATATATATATATATATATACACGTCGGGGTATTTTTAACAATCTAAAAAAATGATTTCTATTTGTACTATTAGTATAGTATAATATTCCATATTCCCATTTGATTGATATTCCAAAAATAAATTCAGGATTTGCTCGGCTCCATGAGAGAAAGATATCAAAAATAAAATAATCAAAAAAAAAATACCATTTTTTAAAACCCTTTACCATCTAAAGTGTTCAAAAAAGAATAAGAATTCACAAAGAAGAGAGATATTTTTTGACCCTTTATCACTACAACATTTTGAATATACAGCAACACAAAAAAACCGTTGCAAAATCCAAAAAAGCCGTTGTCTTTACATATGAGAACGGTTTTCAGGGCGTTCTAAACCAAGACGTTGTTTTAGCCTTTAGGAACGGTTATTTAGCCAACGGCAACGCCTTGTTCAGAGCCGTTGCTGTAATTTTATATAAAGAACGACCTAGAATAGCAACGGCTGGAGGCCGTTTTCAAATTTAAACCGTTGCAATTGTTGTTTATTAGAGAACGGCTATTTTATGGAATATAGCAACGGTTCTTAGCCGTAGCCTATTCTAAACCGTTCTAATAGAGGCTTAAGTTCAATTTTTCTTCATAGGTTATAGCAACGCCTTCTTTACTACAGACACACTTTGTAACTGTTGCAAAAAAATTTATTTTATTTTGTAAACCAAATAAATTTATTTATTTTTTAATAAAATAAATTTTTATTTTATTTTATAAACCTGATAATAACATTATTCACAATTTTTTTATATAATAATATTCAAATACAAAACATCTTCAAATTGAAAAAGATCCAACAATAAAACATCTTCAAATTACATATCGTAATGTCAACAAAACATCTTTAAATTACATATCAATCCCAATGTCAATCATCATTCATTGTCAAAATAACATCTTTAATCAATTTCTTTCGATGATCCAGCTTTTGAATGTTTCCAACATTGGTGTTTATAGGATTGCTTCCTTGATTTGTTGGGTTGTCTTTTAAAGCTTTTTCATTTTCAACCTTGATTTTCATCTTCCTCTTTAAATCCGTGCTAGACTTAGCTTGGAAATCAAACACAAAATCGTTCTGGTTCGTCATTTTCCTGCAACAGAAAGTAAAAACAATTAAAGAGGTGATTGGAATTACTGTTGCTGTTAATTAGTGCTTTGAGTAAATACAATGATGCAAGAGAACTTGACAATTACTGCTGCTGCTAATTACTGCTGCTGCTAATTCTGCTTCTCAACGAACTTGACAATTACTGCTGCTGCTAATTATGCTTCTCAACGAACTTGACAATTACTGTGCTGCTAATTACTGCTGCTGCAAACATAACAATTCATAATATATCACTGACATTATAAAGAGGAAGATGAAAATCATAATACTGCTGCTGCAAACATTACAATTCATTATACTGCTGCTGCAAGAGAATAAATTCATACATGACATTATAAATTCATAATATGGGACATACAACACCATTGAGTTTAATTGTAGATTCACATTTCACATTGTCCTATACGAGAACGGATTTGCACAGTTGTATAAAATTTATAAAAAATTATATAAACTACCGCAACAAATTATATAATTAGTTGCCTATTAGTCTCTACGAGAACAATTTTTTTACTTTCTAAAAATTAGGCGTTGCTATAGAGTAAAAATGTTGTAGTGTTTATTTTAGAATTTGAGGTTTATATATATATATATATATATATATATATATATATATATATATATATATATATATATATATATATATATATATATATATATATATATATATATATATATATATATATATATATATATATATATATATATATATATATATATATATATATATATATATATATAAAAGGGGTTTCGTTGTGGATATTGCTAAATGGTCTGATCCAATGATGCAATTTTAGAATTATAAATTCTATAATCACACAACAAGTAGTTTTCTTTTTCTCAAAAACAAACACGAGAAATAGTACCCACAACTTTTTTAATCATATTCCAAATATATTTCAAAATATGTGTGCCACCACCACTTGATGAATACAATATCGCAAGCAACTTGCCAACACGCCGGAGTTTCTTCTAGACTGTTTCTCCAAACATTATCCATTTCCAAAGATACCCTCCCGATTCATGCAATCACTTTTATATAAAATCATAAAAATAATAAATTAAACAACAACATGAAACATAGCAACGACTGGTACTACTAGAAGGTGAAGTTGGTCGAATAAAAAAATATTCTTCAACAAGTGAACAATAAAATATTAACATTAAAACATAAAATACCAAAGTTGCAATTAAATATTAAAAATTATAATAATCAATTGAAATTGATAATTTCAAGTCCAAAGATTTTGCAAGTTGCATTCCTTACAACAAGTTGTGTATCCACTTGCATGCAACCACCGCGTAATGTCATTGCTTCAATTAATTCAATAGTTGCAATTATGAATTCACTTTTATTATCTTTTTATGTCTCTTTGAACATCAAAGAAGAGAAAAAGAACTCTTGTATACAACTTGTCTATACAAAATTAATAATAGCCTCTCACATTTTCTCACACCCTTTTCATATATATATCTAATCCATCACTTTAACTTCATAAAACTAATCTTTAGTTTTTGAACAAAGAACCATAGTTCTTTCTTTCTATTAATACTAATTTATAAATTTTATTATAAATATTACAAATGCCTTCACCAGTTCAGTTTCAAAGATACAACACTAACAACACCGAAATGGTCACCGTTAATGCAATTGCTAACGGCGTCAACTGTCCAAAACAAGGTCGTTATGTTTTAACGGCTTTAAAACTAACCGTACCAGAAACGGTTACGAACCACCACAACGCGCATATCGTGGAACCAAACCAGTGCTATTCCGTTGTGATCCAAACGATCAACGCCTCCGTTTCAACCGTTTGGTCCGTGGTTCGACGATTCGACAATCCGCAAGGATACAAGCACTTTGTGAAAAGCTGTAACGTGGTCGCCGGTGACGGCATTCGCGTCGGCGCTTTACGTGAGGTTCGATTGGTTTCTGGACTTCCCGCGGTGTCGAGTACAGAGAGGCTAGATATACTTGATGAAGAACGGCATGTTATCAGTTTCAGTGTTGTTGGTGGAATTCATAGGCTGAGGAATTACCGATCGGTGACGACGCTGCACGGTGACGGTAACGGAGGGACGGTGGTTATTGAATCGTATGTCGTTGATGTACCGCATGGGAACACGAAGGAAGAGACGTGTAGTTTTGTTGATACGATTGTACGGTGTAATTTGCAGTCGTTGGCTCAGATCGCAGAGAAACTCTGAAGAATATGAAGAAAATAAAATCTATTTTTTTAAACTTGTTTTTTAATTCGGGTTTTTTGTTTCGAATACGGGTTTCGGGTCAGGACTCATATTGTTGATATGTAACCCGCGTTGGAAATTGGGGGTGGGGTAGAAAAAATGCAATGGTAAATAGGATTAAGGCTATATATATAATGTTATATCATACTTGTTTTGATATAGTATTAATATATATGTAATTCTATCATTTAGTTAATTTTTTCTTTTGGGTATGATTTAGTTTTTATCTTTTATTCTTTTGTAATTTATATTTTTCCGTTCATTTGGGTTGATGGTAGCTGATGCTTCATTCGCACGAGATGAATGGTTTCTAGTGTTAGTTAATTAATTTATTTAACTTGTTAATTTTTCATCTATATGAAAGACAAAGTTGATTATTTGAATGATTTGTATTTCTACTGCACATTCTTTTATCAATTTAATTAAAGTAATTCTTAAAATAATTTTGACACGATATGTAAATTGAATTTTTTAAGGATTTTTTTAGATAAATAAAGCTCTAGTTTACTTGATTCTTTGTTCAACCCTCATTGTTCTCTTAAAGACTTTAATTGAATAAGTAGTTGTGGGCATGTGCAATTTAGATTAGATAAATATTCAAATGATGGGCTATGTGCTCAGGTTATGGGTTAGATGTCCAAATATTGGACCCTTGAATTGATGTGAAGACTTTAATAAGGTGTTCTCTACGAGTCATATTTGATTTAGAGTTTATAAAGACCAACAATCCTTAATTATGAATTTATGACTTAAAACAGTCTCTAGCCACTCAAGCACTAGGCCGAAGTGTTTGAATCACCTTACAAATAGGATTTGTGGAGTCGAGAATTGAGAACCTTTAATTAATTGAAGCAATCTGGTTTGTGTCTAAATTTTTTTAAGTTAGCGTTTGACCTTCTTTCTCTGAGTGAGTCTCTTTTAGTTTATTTCTTGTTTTCTTATTGCTATTTTCAAATTATGAATAATTCCACCTATCATGTTGTATTGATGACAACTTGATATGTGGTCTGAGAGAGGATGTCAATTATGAATTTTTTTATTGGTTAATTAGTCTTTTTGGACATATTATGTCTTGTGTCTTATGTCTTTTTATATCTCTTCCTTATCCCCTCGTTGTTCATCTTCTATTTTTGTTTATGTTTTTCTAAAAACTCTTTTCTCATTTCAAGTGATATGCGCCGGACTTTAGTTCAATCAAGGTATCACTTTCTTCTTTATTATATTGTCTTCCCTTACCTTTTATTCTAATAATTCACTTGTTTTTACCAAGGTACAATAGTTCTTCGTAAATTAGATTTCAATGAGAAATGAATGTTAAGCTTCTCTACTGATTTTTCCTTTTATGAGAAATTTCATTCCCACGCTAAAAGGTCTAATTGGAATGTTAATTGAAAAGTTTTTTGTCGAGGTCCTTGATTTTTCAAGTGATTCCAATGACTCCAATAGTAACTCTAGTAACTAGGTGAATGACATTTATGTTTCCTCTTTCTTAGGGATCGAGCAGGATTATGTGAGGGTATTGATGGATTCAAGTAGTTGTGAGTTGGGTTGAATGCATTCCAAGATGATAAAGTGTTCCTCTTAGCACTCTAGCGAAGAGAAAGTCTCTGTATTTTGTGCCATAGTTGTCATGTCTTCCACTAGAAGTGAGAGTAATGTGATTCTAGATCATATAAAGGAAGAAGATTGTGTGATTATGCATCGCCCTTTTGGTGTTACAAAAGACACCTTATATATATATATATATATATATATATATATATATATATATATATATATATATATATATATATATATATATATATATATATATATATATATATATATATATATATATATATATATATATATATATATATATATATATACACACACACACACTTATGTATCTCTGAGGATCTCAACATTAGAGTTCCTTTTATTGATTTCAAGTATGAGATGCTTAGGGTCGCAAATGTGGCACCTTTATGGTTTTATTGTAATAGTTGTGTCTTTACGAAGACATTTCGTATAATGAGTGGGGATTTGAGCATAAATATCACAACCATTGTTTTATCTTCTTTTTATAGTACAAAAGGGATATGTAAGGGAAATTTGGTGTCAGTGAGAGCTCAACCGAGTAAGACTCAATTTAACCTTTTCCAGTTTTCCTCTATGGACTTCAAACACTACTTTTTGAGAGCGGGGAATAAAGTTTCTTTTCCTTACCTTAAGTATGAAAATATTTGTTGTCATATGTTTCCTTTATATTCAGAGAGTGGCCCGTCGTTTATTATGGCTTATGATTTTGACAAATTATTCGAGTTTGAAAACGAGTCGATTTGTATTTTTAAGACTTTCGTGCATGTAAGTTGTAACAATGGCATTGATAAAGAATTTGATGATTAATGACTTCATAGTTATACTTTTAAGCTTGTAATTTTTTAATCTATCAATTTGATGTTTCTAGTGCTAGTTTAACCCCGTGTTTCCCTTTTTTTGTTTTGATGGAAGAATGTCACCTCTGAGTGATGAAGAGTTTAAGGATTACCTAGAGAAATAAATGATGAAGAAGGAGAAAAAGGTTTAATTTGAGGTCGTTGTGCCTCAATATAACCTGAGTGGAATTACCCTTGAGGATAATAAAAGGGAAAATGGGGGAAGTTCAAAAGACGGAACCCTGTTCCGGTATACGAAGCTATTATTATAAATAAACAATTGACCAATGTGGCCATAGAGTGTAGAAGCAATGTGAGGCCATCCCTTCCCAATAAAAAAATTAATAAAGAGAAAATAATTTCTCAGTTGAGAGATCAACAACAACTTCACTTAAGAAGTTTGTATTGAAGAAAAATTGGTTTGAAGAAAAATTGGTTTGAAGAATAATGACCTTTAGTTTTAACTGTATGATTACTAGATCTAAGAGAACAATTGTGTCCTCTAATGTGTTTTACATATGTAGAAAGTTATTGAAAATATTCTAAGTAATCAATAATCTTGAAAGAGCGTGTAAAACTACTTCTATCTAATGATCATTTAGACTCAAGATAAAACTGGAAGATATAATATGTAACATTCATCATTAAGTGTCATTGTATAGAAACAGCTATGGCACAAACTAATAAGGTATGCAAGCTTGATATTAATCTCAAAACTTAACAAGTTTAATCTTGTGAGACGCCTCTCAAATTTGAAATACCTATCAAATTCTATTTGTGAGACATGTCAAAAAGAGACACTTGTGGAAACTTATTTTCATTCTAAGAATTTTTTTTCCTCCTTAAGACCACTAGAACATTACACATTTATATGTTTGAACTAGTGAAAACTTCCTCAGCCAATGGTAAAAATTATCGACTAGTCATTGTTGATGATTACAACATATATGAAATTATGTTCTTAAGGGTACAAATGTTGAATACAATGTTGGACAACTAATATAACTTCTTTAACTAGTTAAGACAATAATATGACAGCAATAAAATAACTCAAGAGACTGGTAACGCAGTTTGGTGCAGACACCTATGTCTAGAGGGCACTCTACCCAAGAAAGGAAATTCACCACTTCGAATCATTACAATTAGTATTTTATGAACATCAACCCCATGATGTTCAATTCCTCTTCCTAATCCTAGTATCTTTCTATTTAGGACTCCCTATAAATATGAGAACCCCTATCACTTTCTCTCAACCACTAACCCCTAGTGATCATCCTTAATAACAACTATATTGATTGTTGAATTTACAATTCAACTAAGACTCGACAACTTTGCCAAGTTACTAAAACATAGAGTGGTGTACACAAAAAGTGTCAACACTAATACAGCATTAGCATGAAATACAAGAAATAATAGACTCACAAACTCTAGACACAAAGAGTTTAATCTTGCATACAAACCCTCAAGTAAAATATGAGAACTGAGTCTCCTTTTATATAAATGTCTTATAGGATTTTTCCCCTTGGATCTCTGACTTTAATTTGTCCTGAATAATAGCTGAATTATGTGGATTTGATTTGTTCCATAAACCACTCCAACAAAAGATATGATTTGTTAAATTTAAAATTCAAATTTAAATCTGATTTGATCGTCAACAGTTGGCAAATGAATCACACAAACATTGTCAAATAATCTGTAACAAATTTGATTGAGATTCAATATATTTTTTTGCACCAAACAACATCCATCATGGCCTGTTGACCAGGGCCATATGTCGCACTGCACACATGTTGGAACATGGCGTACGACATGTTGCACTGGTACATCCAAATTAACTCATCTTCATGAATTGTAGATCTTCTTTGTAGAGTGAATCTTGGATAGAATAATTTTGAATCAAAACTGCAATATCATTTGTCTGTTGCTAATGACCAGATGTTGCAGCACACATGTTGGAACGTCGTGTTCCACATGCGTCCATTATGCACCAGAAACAACTTGAAAAAAACTCCATGTTGTTTTGCATAATGCAACCAATCCCAAAAGGACCCATAATTTCCCCCTTTCGAAAATTTTGGAAAAACAACTCTTCAAGCAGAAATACAACTAAATATTAAGATATACTTAGACCAAACATCAAAGCATACATCAGCAGCATCAGAAGCCAGAGCAACGACAACACATATCACTAGGATACACAAAGATGCTCCTATAAGTATTTAACATGCAATCATTCATGTTAGGTTAGTCATGCATGCACACACAACTAGTAGTCAGAAGTCAAAGGTCAAAAGCTACTACTAACGCACAAAGATATTAACATATAAGGTAGACGACCATATGTTAGGCCAGATGCTTCAGCATGTGTGCACACAGAAACTAGATCACATCAGTTAGTACCAGTCATACCAGTTAGTACTAATCACAACATGATATATACCAGGTCAGTAATAAAGTCTCATACACCATAAAGTTAGTAGTTAGACCACTTCACTACACACACCATTACTCTCCATTTTTCTATAATTTGACAAAGGTGTTCCT